TGCTGGGAGGGAGGGCGGCGGGGCTTCGGGCTTATCAATGAAAGCGACGTTTTTCTCTCGTTGCAGACACCGGAGCGTGGGATCCGCCTCGGCGTTTGCCTGCTGGGGTTTACGGGTTGTTAAGTAGACTTCCAAGCGGTGTGACATCGCTCCGCCAGTCCCTTCCTTCCTGAGAAAGGGTAGCTGCTTTCTGAGCCATCACGTACCAGCTTGATGTATTCCTAAGATTGTCATCATCTTCTTGGGTTGTTGACTTTTTTTGAGGCCTTATTGAGGTTTAATTACTTATAGGCTCTAGTGTTTATAAAATAGTTTAAGATGTTTGTACTACTCAATTTTAACTCTGTTGTATTAAGGGACATTGTTTTAACTTGGGAATGGTTAAATGGCCAAAGAATTTAATTATTTATGGATAAGGGCTATTTTATTTGACTACTGTTGGCCTGCGACTTAAACGTGCATCTTTTATTTTTTTTATCCTATGCTTTTTCTGTGTTATGGCTGCTGCAACAATAGTTCATGATACATCAGAAGCTGTAGAGCTCTGTGCTCCCTGTGGGTTGTACCTTAAGCCCATTACAAAAATGACCATCAGTGTGGCACTTCCTCAGCTGAAACAACCGGGAAAATCCATTTCGAACTGGGAAGTGATGGAAAGATTGAAAGGGATGGTGCAAACTCATCAGTTTTCCACTCTGCGGATTTCTAAAAGCACAATGGATTTCATCCGGTTTGAAGGAGAGGTGGAAAACAAAAGTTTGGTTAAATCTTTTCTGGCGTGCCTTGACGGCAAAACAATAAAGCTAAGTGGCTTCTCTGACATTTTAAAAGTCCGTGCTGCAGAATACAAGATTGACTTTCCTACTAGACATGACTGGGACTCGTTTTTCCGTGATGCAAAAGATATGAATGAAACCTTGCCAGGGGAAAGGCCAGATACTATTCACTTAGAGGGCTTACCTTGCAAGTGGTTTGCAGCAAAGGACTCGGGCTCAGAAAAGCCGAATGAAGAAGTCCTTATAAAAGTTTTCCAGAAATTTGGAGAAATACGTAACGTGGACATACCCATGCTGGACCCTTACAGAGAAGAAATGACTGGCAGAAATTTTCACACTTTCAGTTTTGGAGGCCATTTGAATTTTGAAGCTTATGTTCAATATCGAGAGTACGCAGGTTTCATTAAAGCTATGAATGCCCTGCGAGGGATGAAGCTGATGTATAAAGGTGAAGATGGCAAAGCGGTGGCTTGCAATATAAAGGTGAGAAAGTACAGGCATTTTTATCGGAAACCATGTGAAGGACAAAGTGCAATTAAATGTTACTTCCCTAGTGCTTAAAACCTGCATCTGTATAGTGTGGTGATGATGACAGGTGACATTAACAGCGCTAGTGTAGTTCTATGGAACAGCCATAATGGAATTTTTAAAATAAAATGATGAAAGAAGAATGTGTTGTTAGAGTATGTGAACAAAGTGAGTGGGATTTTGCTCTTTTGGGGTTTTTTTTGGTGTTTTTTTTAACAGCAGTTAAAATGTAGAAATGAGAACTGGTTGATGAAAGGACCAAGTATACAAACATGGCCTTATAAATCCTGCCATTTCACTTAAAATTCTAATTCTGAACAAGTTTAGAAGGCTGAATTTAAAATGCATTGTTCTTATTTGCGTTCACTAGAAATAGAATTTTTGGGGTAGAATTTCACAGTCTCTATATTTGTTCTCAGCATTGGTAATGAGGTTTATCAGACAAGTGTCAGAACTGTTAAGTTTCGTAGCATGTGGTCTATATTGCCTGGGGAATCCCCAGTTAATGCTTAGTTTACTTCACATGCAGAAAAGTCCTCCCAAAATTCAAATTAAAATTTTTATCTGTAGCACAGTTTCCTGTAAATGCAGTATGCTTAATTCGTAATATTTACATACTGAGTTTTCCAGATCTTGTTTTCTGTAACCTCATTGTCTTAGAAAATACAACTATGACAGGAGAGAACAAGACAGTCTGTTCAGATAATGTATGTGTGTAAGTGTGGCCTGAGGAAAACTTGCCCTGTTATGTTTGGAGGTGGTCTGTTCATTTATATATCAGTTGAGTGAAATGTTTGTGTGTTGTATTTCAGTATACTCAATAATCATTCATCAAATCTGAAAGTATATTTCAGGAAAATGCTTGAGTAGTCTTCTGTGTAATGTGGGAACATGCAAATATTTATTCAAGTTATAGTTTATTCAGTATAAGTAAAATACCGTAATCTTTTATCTTGTTACCAAAATTTGCCAGTTGAAGCATTGAAACTGTACCTTGACCCTCAATGTTTTCAGAGGGATGGGAAATTCAAACTGTCACTTACACACCGGTGGTCAGGGTTTCCAAATGTAGTTTGGCCATGCAAGTGGAAGGATGCCTTGCTGGCAGCTGCCCTGGATATTGATAGAAAAGAGAGGGCTGTGTTTGCAGCTGTGCTGTCGGGACACATCTTTTATCCTACAGTCACACCACCGTGTTGGTTTCCACCTGTCTGTCCTTTTAGCCTGTCAGTGAACCTCATTTTACATAAAGTTTGAATGAATTAAACTTTGCAGTACAGGCTCCCTGTTTTCTGCCCCATGGTTCATGATGATGGCCTGGCAGGAATGTATTGCAGACCTCTGTCTGCCTGCACACTGGTGGTATCTGAAATGAGAATTTAGGGCACCGGGGCTGTGATGTCTGCTCGTGTCCTGCTGCAGCACGCAGCTGGATGTGGCCAAGTTGTGCTCATATGTCCTGGATGTTGAGCATTTTTCCAGGTCCCATTTCTCAGATATGTATAAATTCCTTTTCTTTTGTGTTCCCAGTCTCAAACCTGGAGCTTCAGCTTGGTGTATCTCAGTTTGGGAATCTTCACATTGGAATTGTTCTGGTGGCACTTGCTTAAACCAGATGCTGAGTGTTGTACAACTGTTACTTCAGCTGAATTTAAGGATCACAGTTTTAGACAGAAAAGGCAGCCTTTATTTAGGCCCATTCTTATAGAGAGGATGATCAGGCACTGGGATGCACTGCCCAGGGAAGTGGTGGAGTCACCATCCCTGGAGGTGTTTAAGGAGAGGCTGGATGTGGCCCTTAGTGCCAATGTCTGGCCGATGTGGTGGTGTTGGGTTGTAGGCTGGACTTGATGATCTCAGAGGTCTTTTCCAGCCTCAGCAATTCTGTGAGAGTGCTGTGCCGTCCCTGACGGCGTACATGAGTTGAAAGAGTTCTGTATGTTGCTGTTCTAACAGGTTGAAAACATTGGAGACGCAGGGCCTAAACCACAACAGGGTTTATCTATGGATGTCAGACACACAGAAGGTAAACTGGTATCTGATTGTGCTAACATGCAGGCGTTTAGTTCTGTTTTCTGTTTATGGTACTCTGGTACTTGCCCTGGGTTTGTAGAGAAATTCCCTTTGTTTTGAAAAAGGTCTTCTATTTCTGATTTTACTTACACTGCAGTTTGGATACTTTAGTGCTAGGTTAAAATTGTTGAGGATTGTGTAGGTTGTCCAGGATTTTTCTCGGGGAGTCTACTTAAAACTGTTTTCAATTATATCCTGTAAAGGTTTCTTTTGACTCAACAAAACACCTCAGTGATGCATCAATTAAGAAGCGTCAGCTTGAAAGACAAAAGCTACAAGAGCTTGAAAAACAGAGAGAAGAACAAAAACGTAAAGAGAAGGAAGCTGAGGAAAAACAAAAGGAAGAAGAAAGGTATTTATTGCTTATGACTCAGTTATATTTTTAACAGTTGGACATAATGAAATTGTAGTTGATCCTTCGTATCAGCATCAGTAGATAGAAAATAACTAAATACAAATTTCCTTTCAAAATTCTACTCCTGTAGCTAAAGTGAGTCACTTAAAACTGAGTGAGAATATTGTGGTCCTTTTGAGGAAGAGAGTTCAGGGATTACGAGATTTGGAGAAGACTGGTTTACACATTTTTTTCTTCTTGAACTATAATTCCAAGAGCTGGGAACTTATATGATATATAGTCATTCTGAAGGAAAAATATACGCTGTAAATGCAGAATACAAAATAATGCACTGTTTCTGCTATTGAGTAACTTCGATATTTTAAAGCTCATTTGTTATTAACTTCAATATTTTTCCACGATAGGGATGGGATACAAACATGTCTTAACAGTGACATTCTAAGAAAATTTATAGGAGTGAAGATGTCGTAAGGCAGCTATTCAGAATATGAACACAAATGAAGCAGGTGATTTCAGAGGTCATATGGTGTCCATTTGCCTTGATGTGTATAAATTGTCATTGCTTAATGTTTAAATATGAAACATTTTCTGAAACTGTAAGATTATTTAGACTGTCATTAATGCTTGTGTTCAGGTTAATATATTGAATCTGCAAAATACTCAGTTTCCTAAAAATCATGCCATTAGATACCTGATTTCAGAAACCTTTGGTCTTTTGCACTACTATTTTGTCCTAATGACTGAAATAAAACCAACCACTCCTACACACATTAATCAGCTTGATAATTTTCTTCTTGCTATGACAGTTGACTGCCCAGGTGCCTGATTTTACTGTCTCTGGCCAAATAAATCTTTTTTCTAGACATGTTAGAATCTTTGTATTCTAACTTGTTTTAAATATTGGCAGGCTGGTGATTGTTTGCTACCACAACTAATGATTAAAATGGTCACTGTTTTCTTGTTTTCAGTAATTGACAAGACTTACTTAGAAACAAATGTACTCAAAGTACAAAAATATATTTTGTACTACTTTAGAGTAGGAGTCTGAAATAGTACCTGCCCTGGGTAAGGTAAAATGGTTAATCTCTTTTTAGGAAGCAGAGAGAGCTTGAAGAATATGAGAGAGAGAGGAAAAGAGAAGAAAAGTTACGCAAAAGAGAACAGAAACAGAAAGATCGTGAAGTTCGACGAAACAAAAAGCAACTGGAAAAGCTTCAAGCTGAGGAACAGAAAAAACTGCAAGAGAAGATAAAGTTAGAAGAAAGAAAGCTCCTGCTAGCTCAGAGAAATCTTCAGTCCATTAGACTAATTGCAGAACTGCTAAGCAGGGCAAAGGTAACTTCAATATTTATTTCAAAAGCTAATGAAGAATCCTGACTTGGGAGTAGGTAAGGAGTGCTGTTCATTGAACAACAGATTTAGTACCTCTCCAGATGCTATTCCTTAGACCAAAATTTGGAAAAGTATTTCCCTCTTGGTAAAATATGCACATATAAGTAAATAGAAGAGTGAACTTGAACTTACAGTCCTGAATAGCATTTTTTAGCTGTAAGCTAATTGACAGGCTTGCTCTCAAATCCAGTAGAAAGGTGAGTAAGCATGGTAAAGTGAGCTAAACACAGAATAAGATGCAGCACTCCTTATTTCTCATTTCAGTTTTTATGCTCTTTTCCGTCTGGCTTTCAAGAGTTCCGTTAACTACTCTTTGTAGTTTCAGAGAATGAGCTTTCATTACTTGATGTTGGTAAATGTGCAGCGTGATTTTTCTATAGGAAAAGTACTGTCAGCTGAAGTTTCGAATGTTAGCTCCTGTATTGCTATTTTTCACTGAAAAAGGATGTCGTTTGCTTAAGACTTTGATAAAGTCATGTTAGGGTATAATGTATATTAGATATTTTCTGTAGAAATGAAAAATTGTATGGCAAAGGACATATATTTTTTTTTCTTTGATGCCACTGTGTCTCGAAAGTGGTTTTGAACTCGTATAGTGCTATGTCGTCTGTTTGCTGGGAAGAGGGAGAAATACTTCTTGAGGGTATTGTAACTTTGCAGCTGTGAAATAGAAAGGTTGTCTGTTAAAACAGAGCAATGTGTTTCTTTTGCGTTGGCAGTTTTGAGGTCTACTCTAGGCCGGTTGTCTGGATCAGAATTAAAGAAAAATTGAACCTTCATTTTCAGTATCATGAGTTTCTAGAGTGGTTGACAGAGTGAGAATCAGTTTCCACATAACTCATATGTTTATTTGCTGTTTTCTGTGAACTCGTTATAAAATCATATATGAGCCACAAATTGTAGTCATCTAAGAGAAATTCATGTTTTAAATTTGACTGAAACCTTCAAGTGTTGACCCTGATAAATGTAATTTAATACTTCAGGTTTCATGTGTTTTTCTATTATTCTAGTCATATTAACGAGCTGTAAAAGCCGAGCTTTGGGTTTTGCTGTGTGAAACAGCTAAATGTGATTAACACACAAAAGAATTTGTTGACTAATACCAGTTTTTCGCTTTACAACAGTTGTGTGTTGGTGGATGTTTTTTGGTTGGTTGTTTTTCTTTCCCTTTAAAAGGGGAACAATTGTTTTATTTTGGGATGGCTAAGTTCTGTTTGTTAGATTTTATTTTCTGCTGTATTGCTGATTTTGTATTATGGTATAACTTGGAACCATGAGCAGGTTTATAAATATTATTTTGTTTACTCTTACCTTCCCTTTGTCTTTCAGACAGTAAAGCTTTTGGAGCAAGAACATAATGAAGAAAAGATGCGTCTTCAGCAGCTAGAGGAGAGACGAAAGCTCCAGGAGGCTGAGCTCAAACGTGTGGAAGAAGAAAAGGAGAGAGCACTGGGGTTGCAGAGAAAAGAAAAGGAACTGAGGGAGAAACTACTGAACAATCTTCTGAGCAAGAAAATGGATGCAGTTAATCAGAACAAAGAAGAAGCTGAAGCATCTCAGTCTGACGTGCTGAAAACCCCCAGTGGTGTTCCACACACTGTGTCATCCAGCTGCATCACTTCTACCTCAGGACAGGCTGTTACAAGCAAACCGACTCCCAGCTCTCAAAGAGAAGTAGCATCCTCTGAGAGTGTAGGCACTCCGTGCCAGTACTTGAATGGCAACATTCATGACAAAGTTCACGTCAAAGAAGGTCAGAAACTTCATACTACAAACTCTGAGAGGAGTTCAGAGAAAAGAAGTTCAGGTGTACTTTCATGTGTCCCCACCAATAACCAGGAGCAGAAGAGCCTCTCCAGCTACGACCAAAATACCTGCAGGAGGGACTCACACTGTGAGCAGGACAAACGTAGCACAGAGCCAAGAAGAAGAAAGAGCCGTTCATGTAGCAGCGTAAACACTGATGACAGTAAGGGGAGACGAGAGAGGAGCAGACACAGACGAGATGTGAATTATAATGATGAAAAACGGAGGAAGGAGAGGCGGTATTATAGACACTCTAGCAGAAGTTACAGTCCTCGACGAAGCCGTAGTCCTCGTCGAAGAAGTGTAAGCCCCAGACGTTCACGTTACAGAAGAACTCACAGTAGTGAACGCAAACGAGACAGAAGAGAAAGAAGTCGTAGTCGCAGAAGTGTGAGCAGGAGACGAAGGTACCGGAGGAGATCACTGAGCAAGCAGAGAAGTACTTGGAGTGGGTAGTGGAGGCCCTGGCTCCCTGGAAAGGCTGTGGTTGGACAAAAGGGCCAGAAAGTTGTAAACGAGACCTCATCGGTGTGACTGCTCTTAAAAATGTGTTTGTTTTGACCAATGCTTAACTTGCATCCCGTCCCTGAAATCAAGAAAATGTATATCTGATTTTTTTTTGATGTTCCTTAGTGCTTCATTGTCTCTAGGTTTCTACCACTATGTAGGTATAACCACCTGTACTTGACTTCCTACAATGCTAAAAGCCAACATATTTTCTTGATTTTCAGTATTTTATACTTTAATTTTAGTCAGTATAGTTTTTATCTCTGTATCACCTAATTTGGCTGGAGAAGTACATGGGTGCCAGTTACAGGAACTCCAGATGCGACAAGCTATTACATACATATTTGATATAAAATGCTTTCTGGTGCATTCAGTGGAATCATGTTAAACAAAGCAGAGTTTTTGCCAATTGAGATGGATAGCGGGACTTCCTTATAGTTCTTAAAACTGGCTATAAAGATATGCAGGATATCTTTTAAAATGCTCTGATTCCTTCATATGTCTGTATGGTGCCAAGGTTTGTGGCCCAAATTATTCTGATATGTAATGTTTGTATAATAATACTTTCCATGTAAGAGACACACTGATGTAGGAAGTAAGAAGCAGTGGGAAAATGGCTGAAAAGTTGCTTCTGTTATTTTATTGACGTGTTTGGCTTTGTAATTACCTCAGGTGGCATAGAGCCACTTGAAGCATTTTTTCAGGTACATACAGAGCTGGCCATTGTCTTTTGGAAAAGGGGCCTTCTTGCTAAATTATTTTTATTTGTGTTGGAAAGTAAGGCTGCAGTGTCTCTTGTTAAATTCATTTAAGAATACTTTTGCTTCTAAAATGCAGCTCAGGAATATTAAAAGCTATAACATTACAGTGAAAGAGTTTATTTTGCCTTTTTATGGTAAAATTAAAAAGACAACTGTTTTCAGTGGACTGAAGTTGCTGCTTTCATATGTCAATGTATTAAAATTTGCAAAAGTGTTGTATGAGAACCCGTTTGTTAAAAAAGAAAAAGAAAATCACGTGACACATTTGAACAATGAAGCTGAGCCAGTCTTCTTGATGGTCTTGTTATGTACAGCTGTTAATTCAGCA